AGAATAACCTAACATCAGATCTGAGGGATATCAAACAGTTCATAGAACATGTGTATTATGAAAAAAACTCCATTGATTTCAAAATACTTTTGCAGTAAAGTAAACTCACATTTTAAAAACACATTTAATTACTATTTGTTAATTTGCTGTAGGGCACTTGTGCTCACCAGAGAGAGAGAGAGGGGAAGTGAAAAAGCAAACCGCAAGGTCTGGGACTCGAACCACGATCAGCCAAGTAAGACTCCAGTGCCTCAAACATTACGCCACTTGCTAGCCCCAACTCACATTAAAATAAAAAAAATCTTGGGTCCAGCAGTTAGCGTAATGGCTATGTCACTGAACTCCCATGTAGTCGACCAAGGTTCGAGCCCTGGACCCAGTGGTTTAAACTCACACCAGGCGCGTGTGCATGCATGCCCAAGATCCCGAGAAGAGAATGGAGAAGGGATTGCAGCATGGCCACCCCCCCCGGGGGGGGTGATTTCTTGCTTTCTATCTCTCTGTCTCTGGTTTTCTGGACAGTGCATGTGCCTTGCCTGCAAGAAAAAATTCTCCCCCGGGGGGGGGGGGGAATCTGCCAGAATGTGTTTGTGTTGATAAGAGAGAGACAGATGGGGGCCGAAGGGGAAGGTGAAAAAGCACTCCCCAGTGAGGGATGGTAACATTGTAATCCTTTCTCCTCCATTTCTCCCCTTTTTGGGGGGAGGGGTATTTTTTCATCTTTAATAATAATCTACACAGGCTTACTAAATACAACTAAGAATTATACCATCTATATCCCAGTAAAGATCGAAAATTTACATTCCAGTTGACTAGTTTAAAAGTCTCAGTCTACTTTCATAATACGGATAAAGCCTAATTAAGGCTACACAGGTACATCCCCATCTTTCATGGCATCCTTGACCCCTTTGTCCTGACAAAGGAGGCTTAGCTGCTTCTTTAGTTCTTCAATTTCTTTTTCTTGCTCTACTATCTTCATCTGTAGGGTAAGATTAACATTTTCAGAATTTTCGACAAGTTCACTCTGCAGCAGTTGAAGAGCAGATGGTCTCTGGGAAGAGTTCTTCTAATTAGATGCTAGATATATTTGGCTTGCCTGAGACATCTTAACTGACAGAAGCAGGTATCTGACCAATTTACAAACCTGTGAGAACTTCTGCTTGCTCCATTTCTGTCCCAAATGGCCTGAAGAACTCTAGCAGGATCACACCCAACTTATACATATCTGACTTGGCATCATACTCAGATCCAACTGTTCAGGTGAAACATATAGACAAGTACCCACCCTGGAAGTATGTGTCAGTGTTCTTTCTATTCCTGCTTGGTCCAGTCTGTGTTTTTCTGTATGATCTCTGTGCAGACCAGACTGAAGTCTCCTATTTTCACTTGCTGATCAGGGCCATGAAGAAAAATATTTCTGAGCTTCAGGTCTCTGTGTATAATTCCCATGTTATATAAATTTAAAAAATATACCTTCCACCAATTCTTGAAAAAAAATTTTTTTTTTTTTGAGAGGTTTTCACTATAGGGCGCGTGCGCTCACCAGACAGAGAGAAACGTAGAGACAGAAAGCGAGAAATCACCCCCCCAGAGGGGATGGTCACACCGCAATCCCTTCTCCTCCATTCTCCTCTCAGGATCTTGGGTACGCACGCACACGCGCCTGGCGTGCGTGAGTTTTAAGCCACCGGGCCCGGGACACAAACCGCGGTCGACTATGTGGGAGTCCAGCAACATAGCCATTATGCTAACTGCTGGTTCCCAATTCTTGAAAAATTTTTGCTGCAACACTGGCCATAACATTAGGACAGGCTGATTCGTCCATACACTCTCAGCAGCGATTGTATTCTTGGCTATCCAGTCCCACAGAGAGAGCTTGCACAGCTGCATCTGGATATGCAGCATCAGGTGATACTGCGCCTCAGTCTGCCTAATAAGTTTAGGCTTTCTTCAGAAGATTCATCAGTGGATGTGAAATTAGCTTCTAGGTCTAAATTATACCTAAGTGGAAACAATGTTTGACAATTGATCTAGCACACAAATCACCCAAGTCATTTTCTTGAAGCTCAAAGGATGATTAAAATTCTCTGGTGATTCTTATGACTAAATTGGTGGTATAGTTTACAAATTTGTTATTTGGATTTTTATTATTAAATTCTTCACCGGATTTTTCTTTTTCTGATGTGCACTCAGCAAAGATAATGGATGAACTGCTACTTTCATCATTTTGAACATCATATTGATTTCTGTCTTCTGCTTGGTCTCAGACAACTTCCAAAAAATGGCAACTGAATAGGAACTCGGTCTACTTGTGGCTGGACCATATGAACATGTTCCATCTAGGCAGCTTGATAGCCCACAATATTAGGATACTGAAGACCTGCAAGTACTTTCACTTCCCATAGTAACTTCATGTAATTTGTTCAAGTTGCACCCTTAATCAGGATTTTTTTAATCACATAATACTGACCATCTAATTTATTCCTAAACTTGTATATCCACTAGTTAAGTGCTGAGCGTACTTGGCTTGCATGGGACACCTCTTACAGACAGGTAAGATAGCGAGTTCTTCAAATTCATTTAAATAACAAGAAGTTTGTGTTTCAAAGGCTACTTCCCTTGATCTGATTTTTGGTACATGAGAATTATCCTTACAAGGATCCTGCCAAACTCTCTCTTTAACCGACCTCATTAAATGATTAATAGCTCTATTGTGATGTAGTCTCTGGGCTAAATTCACCACTACAGGTGAAAGAAGACAGTAGTAACATTTTGATAAAGGTCTGACAGAGCAATTTAAACATCTGTCTTGAATGCACTGGGTTTGGTTTATGGACATGACTCAAGTACTCCAGCAAAGAAACAAGCAATGGTTGGTTTGCAACTGCAAAAGAGAGAGATGGCTGTTGTAGAGGTTCTTTTAATATCTGGAGCTTTGCTGGAACGTCACATTTTTTGATCCAGGTCCTCAGCCGAGAAGTTGATGGTAGGCGGCGCAGACAGAGCCCCCACCTTGTCACCGCCTGCTTCACAGTCACAGGCCCCAGAGCCATCTGCCAGCATTGCCCACCATGCAGGCCACCGCCCCCAAGTCCAGCACCACCTCAATCCAAGAGATTTTTACTATAGGGTGTGTGCAGACGCTGGAGAGACAGAAAATGAGAAATCACCTCCGAGGAGGATGGTCGTGCTGCAACCCCTTCTCTATTCTCCTCTTGGGATTTTGGGTGTGCACTCACACGTGTATGCACCTGGGTGAGTTTCAAGCTGCTGGGTCTGAGACTCAAAGTGTGGTCAACCATGTGGCAGTCCAGCATCTTAGCAACTACACCTGACACCTCTTGAGATTTCTGGCATGCATGCACATGTGCTGAGCTTGTTTCTCAAGCTGCTGCCTGTGAAATGCATATGAAACTCAAACTGTAGCCAGCCATGTGGAATTCAGCTGCCTTAACCACTAGACCATGGACTGGCCATAAACTCATATTTTAATTCCATCTTTTCATAAACTTCTTGAAGTCCCTTTACATAAGCAACACAACAAATGTATCACATAAAGAGAGTGTTGAAAAGGCAAAACTAATCCATTGTGTTAGAAGTCAGGATGACGTTTATTTGGGTGGAGGAAATAGAGGCTACTGATTGGGAGAGGGCAGTAAATAAGTTCTGATGTGCTAGCAATGTCTATTTCTTGTCCCTAGTGGTGACTACATGGATGCATTTTCTTTTTTTTAATTTATTCATTCATTTATTTTAATTTGACCAGAGAGAGGCACATAGAGAGAAAGGGAAAGTGAGAAAGCAAGCCACCAGGTCCGGGACTCAAAATGTGGTTGGCCATGTGGGAATGTCCAGCGCCTTAACCACCACACCACCTGCTGGCCCCAATGGGTGCATTTTCTTAGCACAATTCATCATGCTACATCATGTGTAATACTAATCATGTAGCATCATAGTCATGTCATTTTCTATATTTATGTTATATTTAAGTTTTTTAAAAAGTAAAAAAAATAAAATATTTGATAAATTAAAGAATAAACTGCTAAATTCAGGAGAAACTGATCAAAGAAATTAAATATTAAAATTAAACTAGAAATATTAATAATTATATTAATAATAATAAATTACCATGAAATGCTTATTAAATAATATTGAATTATTCATGTATTGATTTAATTATTAATAATAACTAAACAATTAGATTAATTAGTAGATAAAATGAAAACTAGTACAGACAAAGAAACACATACAGACAGATAGACATGCATGTATTTCCTTGAGGGAATATGTGCTGTTTACACAAGTCTAAATGTAGCCTATCCTAAGAAGGAATGTAATCTAAAATATAGCTAGAATAACTGCTTTGGAAATAAGGAAGGTACTTGCTATATTGGTCTGGAAAGAAAATATAGAAGAAAAAAATGGAAGAGTACTTGAGCCCTCGAGGGAGCTTCCTGATAACATTTCAGAGGTATTATTTCCTTATGACCTTGCTCCTGCCATATAATCTCTCACTTACCTGAACACAGGCCTCTAGTCAGCTCTTTATCAACCATCC